AAAATCTGTGAGAAGAAGAATTACAACGTCTCATAAAGTGGCATGTATTAAAAAAATAAGAAAATTTAAAATAAAAAACAATCATCATAGCCCAATTATAAAAAAGCAACAATTAAATTGTTTTGCATTGATTTTTTTAAATTTGTTTCTGTCATTACATCCTAATGTTATTACTTATTATAAACAATTCCCAACATTCATAAATTACTTCCAACTACTTATTTTTACTGTTGTAACAATTTTTAAGCGATTTGTTTTTTTTTTTCAATTCTAATACACGTTTTTTCTATTTATTTCAATCTCAATCTGTAATTTTGAATGTTACCGTTTTTTAGGCCTTTACTTTTCGTTTTCATTCAATTAGCAGGAAGGGCGACAATGGTGACCAGTTTTTTTATGTTTTAGAATTTCAATCCGATTAAATTCTATTGATTTTGGATTTCATTGTTGTTCTTGTTGATTTGTCATTGTGTCTGTCGTGTTTGAGTATTCGTTTCAATTGTTTTGTGCTTTTTGCCTTTGGCTAGATTTATTGGCCATTCAAGGCAGGCACATTTCTATGTGTGTGTGTGTGTCTGTGTGTGTATGCGTCTTTTGATTTCTTTGTAGCCATGGCTATTTGTTCTAGCCATTGGAAATAACCAATATCTAATATTATTATGTAATTGTTATTGCTTAATTAATACATTATGTTGCAAAATTGTTGTGTGGTCAGAATGTCATGTGACTAGTGGACAAAAAGCACTTTTTCATTGACAACACATTTTGTGATGACATTCAATGCCAATGGGTTGGTTATTTTGTTACTATTTCGAGACATTTAAAGGTTAGCATATTTTAATTATTTTTGAAGTATTATTTCTCTAAAAGGTTTATGCTATAAGGAGGTAATTAGTATCCTCGTGTCTTAAGTTTTACTTATTCTTTTAATGTAAACCTCTTGGATTTAGATTTGACAAGGGTCGTTAACAGTTCCATTCTAAATTAAAATGGTATTAGCTATATTTAAATGCAAAGACATCCTCACCAAAGGGAAATCAAGCAGTATCTTATGTTGCATCTGCTTTAGAATTTTGTTGTACTTCTGCTGATTAAAGCTGCGGTGACAACGGTTAAAAATGTTTACGGGTCTTCATTTCATCTCCCCATTCATGTTGAGACCGCAGATTGAAATTTTCTTGCGTTCTTTACATCAAAGCGTTTAAAATCCGAGTGCTTGGCTTGTTGAACAATTCTGGAGACATGTAAAGAAAGCTAAACAAAAAAAGAAGGAAATCTCAGCATATTTCCATGGAGGCAGGCAATGCCTTGTCACAACCGCCAATGCGGAAGAAATATTGTAATGTTTAATTTTACAATCAAACAACAGCTCATTTAAATTTAATTAAATCAAACGAATCATTCGAATATGCCGCAAAAGAGGCGCGAATTGTCGATTCTAAAAAGAAACATGGGAGTAGACGTGAAAAGTCGTATAATAACAAAGGACCAGAATGCCGCATGCGCAGCATTCTAACGGCAAACGTCAAATGTAGATATGTATGTAGATAAAAGATGTGATGTGAGGCTGGGTGGAAAAAATATACAAATTGCTGTTAGGTCATAGCTGTCTATCAATCGTCGAAGAGAAATTTTCTGTATTTATGACTTATAAATTTTATAAATTGACAATTGAATTAAATACTCTCCATTTCGATATGTGAATGTTTTATCAGCAGTTCTCAGTGAATAAGGAATGTTCATATCGGTTGTAGTTATAGCTCCATAAGCTTATTATTTTGAAGATTTTCGGACAAAATATTTTGGGAAAAATTCTCGGAGCAAGTCGTTAGAAAATGTTTCGGTGTAGGTTAATTTTTTTATTATATCCACTATATAACGGACTTAGGACGGATGTTTTTTTATACCAATGTTATACGGTCAGAGTAATATATTAGCAGAGGTATCAATAGACCGAATTTGGTGCGCGTTTATCTATCAGTTTCTATTGGGAAGCTTGAGCTTTTTATATCCTTCACCGCATATGTTTGTAACAGACAGAAATAATCGAGATAGACCCATAGTTCATTTTAAGAATATGCATAAAATCACTCTCTGAGTCGGTCTATCCATGTCTGTCCTTCCATATATATTTTGTGAACAAAATACAGGTCGGATTTATGATTCGATTTGGATGCAATTTTGAACAGGTCACTTATCTAGCACAAGGACGAACCCTATTGCAATTGGAGACAATCGGGTTAGATTTAGATATAGCTCCCATATATAGTTTCGTCCGATTTTAGGTAAATGGAGCACCATACTGCCAAAATGATGTATGCAAAGTTTTGTTGGAGTCCGTTCGGATTTAGATATAGCCCCCATCGAGCACCACTCGGCCAATATTTGTCCGATTCAAACAAAATTTTGCACAACGTATTGAAGTTCCTACAGGTTGTTGAAATAACTTCTGATTTATATATAGCTCCCATATATGTTTTCGTCCGATTTTATGTAAATGGTGCACCGTGGAACAGCGGTCTAGAATGTTTTTTGTTAAGTTTGAAATTTAAATATAGCTCACATATATTCATTAGTCCCATTTTATGTAAGTGGTGCACCACTCGATATATATTTTCATCCGACTTCATCTAAATGGTGTACCAAATAGCTAAAGTCTGTTTCGATTAGGACGAATTAGTGCACAACGTACCAAATGAAACCTAGAATAACGTGTATAGGATTTTGTGTCGAGATAAATTTTGGATAGCCCACTGTGCTCGGCATACCAAATGATGGATGTCAAGGCTGCTCAAATACGTCCATTTATTTATAGCTCCCATATATATTTTGCTTGATTTCATTCTAATTATTGACATAAAATTTTTCATAAATTTCAGAGTGGTAGGTTTACGGGTTGTTTTAATTTAGTTCAAATATCTATGTACTTCACAAAGTCAATTTCGTCAGATTCCATTTCAATGGTCTTACAAATATGCTATATCTTTTCTATATACTGGATATTGTACATATGAGCATCTCTTGAATGTCCCCAAAATCGGCCCCGCCCGACATTTGAACTTCCCTTACTGGTTTACAGCAGTTAAACGTCTATGGAGAAGATGTGAAATATAGCGAAATATCTCCTGAGCAAATGAGACAACGCTATTTCCCTCGACATTTTGAACTATATCGATAATCTGAGAACCTGAAATGTCAAATTACAACAATCTCACTTGTACAGAAAGTAATGGTAATATGGGGCTTGTTCCAAAAGTATAGGATAGCCCCCACATAACTGTATCCCCTATTATTTGGTATTGGGGAGTTTGGACATGTTTTTTCAACCAAATTGGTACCTTGAATTCTCATTGGGTAGCAAATTTTTTCCACAAAATATTATCAATAACGCTATAATTTTAGGATAGCCCTCAATTAACGGTACCGCCTATTATTCGCTCTTTTGCGGGGTTTGGGCACGATTTACAACCAAATTGGCTATAAATTGGTTATCTTACCTACCAAACATTTACCATAGCATAGCCGGCATTTATGAATGTCCTAAACAATGTATAAAACGTTTTTACTTATGTATTCATTTTCAATTATCCAAATTCAAAATATGTTATTTATATCTTTTACACATGTAACTATGATTTCTAATTTATATTTTCTCGCTCTCTTTCTCTCTTCCAGTTTGGACTTCGCCAATTGGATCTCACCCTACTCTCACAACTGTGGGCCCTCAATGATTCTATACAAGAATTTCGCACCATGATACAGGAGAATGAGCAAGAAGACGATGAGACATACTCGACCCATTCACGTTCACCCTCACCCTATGATTCCGTATCATCCGACGGCGATGATGAGATATCAGCGTTGAAGGGTAAAAAACTCTTAGATATGCAAAATGCCAATAACAATGCCAGTGTTATTACAACCCAACCGAAATTAACGCCTAAATCCTATGGCTCAGAAAACGAAACGACCACTAAACAACTCGCCAACAATCGACAATCAACAACGTCAAGCATGGGTAGTAGTGTTGGTGGTGGTGTTGGCAGCGATATGGCAACATTCTCCGATCAGAGGTCCCATTTGATGAAGCCACCGTTGCCAAAACCGCTGGATGTCAAGCCTGTGCCACGTATGCGTAGTGCGCCACCACCACCACCCACGCATCGTAAGAGCCAAAATGCACCGCCCCGACCCACATGATGCTACCTGTCCGACTTCTTAGCCGAAGTCAAGATGGTCATGTGTAAAGTGATTGTGGGCGATTCGGCCAACACGAACACCAACAACAGCAAAATCGAGGTCAAGAGGAATTCGGCATTTTATGTTAGCAACAATGAGGCCGTCGTTCATCAACTGGCCTTCAAGAATTCCTCCATGTCCAATGACCATCCCTAATACAGGCGACATCTACTACTACACCAGCAACAACAACAAACGATATTTTATATTTATAATTATGATGAGGACCAGAATCCCGAAATTCCAAAATGTAACCACAATCCAAGTCGTATTGAGAATGCAGACAGTCAGATGATGTTGGCAAAAGTATCGCTATGAAGATCCGGAATGTATCCTACAACGTGTGTGACAAGTGTCAAGTGGAGACGCCCGATATGTAACAACAATAACAGCAACAAAAAGAAACAACTACATATTATATTGAATGGCTTTAGAGTTTAGAGTGCGTATTGAGTATTCTATGATTTATTTTATTATTATTTTTTTAATTTTTATTATTTTCTGTGTATGTGACAATGAATCAAGCAATCGATCGATCTGATAAATGGATCATCTATGTGAATGTGTGTGATTATTATCTTATGTTAATTAATTATTAAAACCTATAACTATAATTATCGACTTATTGTTAAGTTTATGTATTTTATTTTTTTATTATTATTTTTTTTTTTCTGTGCATAATCTTATTATCTGTTTTGTATTAACTTTTTTCTATTTTATCTGTTTTTTTTTTTTAAATAATTTTTGTGAATTATGGGTCCAGGTCCACCGGGTGTCTATATAATTCTAATTATTACGATTCTATATTTTGTTTTGTTTTTGTATTTTTTAAACTCCCTAAACTAATTTTATTTTTGATAAAAAATAAGATGCTAAAAATGCATTTCTTTATATAACCCCAATTAGATTTTCGTTTCGTTATTTGTTTATTTTTTATTACTATTATTCTTTCTTTTCTTATTATTATTTGTTTTGCTATTTCTTTTTCGTTAAGATATCTTCTACATTGAGTGGATAAGCGAAGAAAAAAAAAACAGAGGCAGGCAGAGATTTAAGATAATTTAACAATTAACAATTAATAATCATAATGACGATGATGGCTTCGAAGATGACGACGACGATTGGATTAAATCCTTTCAATGCTTTCAATCGACTAACTGATTGGCCCAAGAATTGAACTCTCATATTTTGTAAATATATCTCTATAATAAAAATAATATTAATCATTACAATAATAATAACAAACAAAGCTTAAAAATGCATCTGAATATCTTTTATACTCTGGCGAAAAATAATAATAAACAATCAATAAAAATATATATTAAAAATAAATTGTGTTTTTATTTTTTCCTTAAAAACGGTACGAATTTCAGAAGTATTTAAGTTTTGGACCATTGCTTTTTATTTCTCCGTATTTTTTCCGAAATCGTAATGAGAAATAAATATTTTTTATCATCAAGTTTATACAGACTTCTCCCGGTATCCTGGGAAAACTTGCAGTTGGGATGGTGAGCCCAATACCTGAATAGTTGAATCGTTTAGGATTTTTGTAGCCCTATTCAGAAAAAGTAACACCATACCCAAACGGCCCACTATCATAAAAATCTACTGCCAACTAATTTTATTTGCTATACCAATATCCCATTGGATTCCCTGCAGGGGAGCTCATGGCTCTGGGAAGTTGCTCAGAGGATTTATTAAGAATCTAAAAGGGGAAATTCGCAATAGATCACGTTTTTAAGTTATGGATTGACGTTTTTTTACAGACGGCCCTAAAATTGTTCGCAGATATTGCAGGTTATCTTTGAAATGACAGTCAAATCAAATGTGGAAATTTTTATAATATCCTCCCGAGTCTTTCTTATTTTTTTTTTCATCCTTTATATTCTTGATATTATTGGATCTTATCAACGCGGTTGATTTTCACACTGCAACAAATTCTGGAAAAGTACATCGACACATTCCACTTATTCGATGACTACAAAGTGACGGCATTCCTTCAAAATTAATATGGCTATGCAGGATAAAGTGGCTCAGCAGGTAAAGTCGGAAAGGAACCCTCGGAGCCCTTCAATATAGAACGATTCAGACAAGTTGACAGTTTGTCATACGAGATGCAAAGGTGACCAAAAATGGGACTCTATACACCAAACGCCGATGACATCGACATAATGGGTCTAACATTGCGAGCGTTTGAACGAATTGAAAAGGATCCTGCCAAAATGGGACTGACAGTAAATGGCGAGAGGACAAAGCTGATGGTATCAACGCACAAGACGTCTAGTAGAATTACAACCAATTCGGTTGTAAAATGTGCTCAGAATATAACAATTTCCGGATATGGCAGCTTTCATCAATTTTTGTTTAAATAAGTGTTTTACCAACTAGGGAAATACGTTTATTGGTCTTCAGGAGACATATTATTGCGATATATCATTATACTCTTCACAATACTTCGGTACAGGGTATTATGTCTCTGTGCATATGTTTGAAACAGGCAAAAGGAGAAGAGATAGACACATGGTTCCTTTTTGAGAATATCCATAGAATCACTTTCTGTTTCGATTTATGCATGTCAATCCGTGCGTCTGTCTGTTTCTGACAAATTTTAAACATTGTTATGGATTAACTGAAGTCGATTCACCAATAGATGTCAATGGTCTTGCAATGCTCTTTGCAATAAAAATCTTACGAACATGTCTTTTATATAACCAAAGTGGTGAAAGGTATCATGGTGCAATAATAAGGTGATGTATCAAAACAAAAACCGTTGTTTTTGTCTCGATTATCTGTCAAATTTTCCCATATAATATTTCAAATGGTTGGCAACACTGCACATCGAATTCATGTATTCATTATGCACTTTGACAGTTAATCAAATCATCAGCTGCGCTAAATGGACTACCTATTCATTGTGTCATGAAAGGTATCATACTGTGAACAAAAACACTAAACTACAGCATATTTTTAGGAGCTTATTAATTTATTTTAAATAACTTAAATTTAAAATAAAAAAACTATTCCCAAATGTATACTGAGAACAGTTTAACAAACGCCATTATAAAGTAAGGCATATTTTGAGGAGTATTCAATAACTAAACCCCACACTACTATTTTGTGAGTTTTTATAAATTTGTGTGGTCACAAGAAATATTGGGACCGCATTTCCACGTCTTTGTAAACCGATCATCACAATTCGACTTCGCCTGCTTCGATCGTTCTAGCTTTGAGTGCAGATGACAAACGATTTTCACACATACATACATGATTAAATAACATCGTCATTTTCACCCTTTTGATGTTCGTACATTTTTCCTCTTGGTACAGTTGTCTGTTATATTTGTTGGGAATATCAGATTTTTTTGAAGGGTACCTCACAGTGGTCGCATTTATGGCCCGATTTAGATGAAATTTGGCACAGCTCACTTATTTGGCCGAAAGACGAACCCAAGATATAGCTCTCATATATATTTTTGTCCGATTTTATCTAAATGGTTCACCAAACACCCAATATTTGTCCGATTGAAACAAAATTTTGTACAGCGTAGTGAATTAAATCCATATTGATGTATACGCAATTTTGGAAAATCAGTTCAGATTTAGATATAGCTTCCATATATAGTTTCGTCCGATCTTTGGTAAATTGTGCACCAAACTCCCAATATTTGTCCGAATCAAACAAAATTTTGCACTGCGTACTAACTTATGTCCAGTTTCATATCCGCGAAGTTTTTTTTTAAATCGGTTCAGATTAAGATATAGCTCGCATATATAGTTTCAGATTAAGATATAGCTCGCATATATAGTTTCGTCCGATTTTATGAAAAAGGTGCACCAAACACCCAATATTTGACCGATTTAAACAACATTTTGTACAACGTACTGAATTAAGTCCACATTGATGTATACGAAGTTTTGTGGAAATCGGTTCAGATTTAGATATAGCTCCCATATATAGTTTCCTCCGATTTTATAGAAATAGTGCACTAAACCCCATATATTTTTCCAATTGAGACGCAATTTTGCACAGCCTACTGAAGTAAGTCCAGTTTTAAGTCTGTGAAGTTTTTTTGAAATTGGTTCAGATTTAGATATAGCTCCTATATTTATTTTCGGCCGATTTTATCGAAATGGTTCACTAAACACCCACTATTTGCCCGATTCAAACAAAAATTTGAACAGCGTACTGAATAAGGTCCAAACTGATTTATACGAAGATTTGTGGAAATCGGTTCAGTTTTAGATATAGCTCCCATATATAGTTTCGTCCGATTTTATGGAAATGGTGCACCAAAGCCCATATATTCTTCCGATTGAGACCCAATTTGGACAGCCTACTGAATTAAGTCCAGTTTGAAGTCTATGAAGTATTGTTGAAATCGGTTTAGATTTAGATATAGCTCTCATATATAATTTCGTCCGATTTCATTTCAATGGCCCTCTAAAGACTATATGTCTGTATATATATTGTACATATTATTTTTTTTTTTTTTTTTTTTTTTGATATTGTGGGCGTACCAACGGTAAAAATTGAAAACAAATTGTTTTCACAGCATAGTAGATTTGTTGGCTAAATATATTCCAGGTCAAAAATTATGTATATTTGTCTATAAAAATGTTATTGCATTATATTTCAAAAAACCAAAAGCTGCAAATAAAAATTTCTTGGCGTGTAATGTGGACCAGTATGTGTGGGTAATGAGTATCAGTAAGTTAAAGGTAGGTTGTGGTTTGGCTGTGATAAATTTCAATTTATTACACTCTTGGGTAACAATGAAGGTAAAAATATATGGGTTCACGTTTTGGAATAGCCCCCATTTAATGGTACCGTCCCATTTGCGGTATTTTGAAGGTCCGAAGCACCTGTAATTTCGCATATCGAGTTTTCAGAGGATAGAATACCTCCTCGAATATTAAATGCACCCACGTTCCGAACTCGTCCTCATGAAAAGGTCCCACTTTTTATAGTGGTCCACATTACCCGACATTGAATATTTTTATTTAGAAATAATTATCGGCTTCAAAAATGAATAAAAATTAAAAATCGCAGATTGTAATTACAGCCAAACGTATATATTTGTTAAAGAGAACAAGAAAAACCACATAACTTCTTTATATTCGAGAAAAACAAAGTGTTCGATTATTTTGCAAAAAACGTTCGACTATTGTGCTAAAAAATGTTCAAATCGCACTTTTATCAGAGCTACATTTTCAACATTGCAATTATTTATTAAAAAACAATTTTGATGTTTGTTTTCACTAATAAGGAAAATATTTATCAAGGCTGCATTGACATATTTCAAGCACTTTCTTAGATATGGGGGGTGGTCCACATTTGACGCATGGTCCACATTACCCGATGTTACTCTAGCATATCTTGTATGTATCCAAAGTGATGAAGGATATCATATAGTCGGCCCCATCCGACTTTTGAACTTTACTTACTGATTTCGGACTGTCATATTGTTTTTGGAAAAAAAGTTAGACGTGTTTAAATGTGTCCTTCGATTTTGAAATGCACAGAATTGTGAAATCACCCTTCATGACAAAACTGAAGTCACCAATTAAAGGAAGCCGTTTTGATACGATAGATGATATAAAAGAGCAAAAAGCGCGTTTCTAGAAAAACAATCAAACCTCCTGACAAACAATTTGTAATGTATGTAAGTGTTTTGAACTTAACGGTGGAACTTAACGACATTTCTAATTGTGGTTAATGACTTTATTCTAATGACTTTTAATAAGTTTTAACAAAAGAAAAAGGAATTCTGGAATTTACCATTTGAACAATCATTTTCTTATTTAGTTTTAACATAATTTTTTTAAAAAACACACACACAAACAAATGCAAAATTAAATTAATTATCTCATTTTACATACAAACTAAACACCTGGACTATTTTCCTCAATTACCTTAAACACATCATGATTCGGTTCCACCAATTGCACACCCGAACTACCAACATCCACGCAACCAATTGGCCAATTGATAAGGTTAAATGTTATGACATTGATGGTGACATTACCGCAAGCATGCAGGGTGTTGAAGTTGTGATGGCCCAAACTATGCACTTGAAGACATCCCGTTAAGAACAGTTGCGGACTGATGGGAAAACAAAACGGTGGTATTTGCCAGGCAGGAAACTCATTTGTGTATAAAGCTCTGTCATTTAGGCGAAGATTTACTTGAACCATCCATGTTCGAGAAGTTACAAGCCAGTCGAGGCACACTAAAAAACGAAGAAAAAACAAAAAAAAAATTAGTAATCAATACATCTGTAACAATATTTCGTTAAGTTTGAATTATTTTAGTTTCTTTTTACTTTATACTTACATTTCTGATGAATATTCAGCCGATCTTTGTCGATTTGCGAACAACATTCACATTGCCATTGCGATAAACACTGGCAAGAACTTTTAAGAAAATCGGACATTGTCTTTAATTTCTGAACTTCATTGGTGTCGGAATTGCAGATGACCTGCATGTTAATTAGAAGCAAAAATATCACAAACGATCGGTTCTTGCAGAACATTTTGACTGTCATCCATATTCCAATAACCAAGAACTGTGGCAGCTATCAAGACCGAACTTATTTTTAAGTCATTTACATTTTTGGCTCATTTATGTCTTTCAACAAGTGCAGATGGAGAGAAAGTAATGCGAAAAACACTGGCATACATGTGAAGAACGTTTTATGTTATAATCAATGAAAATTTCGTGTTTTGAATAATCTTTGTTATAAACTATGTTTGGAAATCCAATAAAAAGAAGCTGATTTTTAACACCACTCATACCTGTTGTGGTGGAGGTTAGAAAGTATGTTGTCAAAACTAAGGCGACTCTACTGTATAAACAGATGAGCTCTGATATTTTAGTTATCTTTACCGTTATAATTACAATGTTTTAGTTATTACACCTATTTTGATTCTTACAGATAATTTTCTGTTTTCAATTTTGACTTATATAATGTTTAAAAACAAATACAGAATACCGATAAAACAGCTAATTACCAGTGATTGTGAAAATAATTTATCACAGAAAATTATTTCGGAGAAATATTCCATGAATAAATCAGTGATTTCTCTCTGCAAAAGAATATCGGTTTGTTTGTCATAGCAGTAAAAAGAAAAAGAACATTTAAAACTTCAACAGAATTGGTAAGAGGGTTATCGATGGATATAACCTCGAGAACAGCGCGTGGACAGGCTATAGCAGCATGCCTACATGCCCGAGAACTATCAAAAGAATTCTTATATTTCTGAAAAGAATTGTAAAGCCAGAATACCTATGACAAAGTTCATATTAATTGAGGTCCGACTCAGAGGAGACATATTTTGTTCTCGGATGAATTAACGTTTAATATCAAAGGCTCAGGAACAAAAAATATCGTGAGAAGATAAAAATTGAACGGTTCAAGCCTCAGTATTCAAGGGTACTGGGAACATGGAGGAGGGTCAATAATGGTATTTGTCTGTTTTTCTTTTTGTGGAGTTTGATCTATTTACGAGATTTATGAAGTAATGGATCGCTGAAAAAATACCCCCTATTTGGATGTTTTTGATTGTCGATAATCTCAAACATACAGCGAAACATGTCAAAAATTAATTGCGGTAGTCAACAATCAGATTTTTATAATGGCCAACATAATCATTAGATCTTCACTCTATAGACAAATCTTTGGAGATATCAAAATCAAAAAGGATACCCAAACAAATAAACATAACCTCTTCCTAAAGGTTCAGAATGGGAGAAATAGTACATTCAAGGATCAAATTAAGCATTTTATTGATTGAGGCGTGCTGCCGTAGTCAAAAATAATGGTTATGCTGTTGATTAGTAACAAAATTAGCTGCCCGTCTGTCTGTCCATGTTAAATTGTAAACAAAGTACAGGTCGCATTTATGATCGGAATTGGATGAAATTTGGCACAGGTCACTTATTTGGCCCAAGGAAGAAGCCTATTGAAATTGGGAAAAGTCGGTTCAGATTTAGATATAGCTCCCATATATATTTTCGTCCGATTTAACGTAAATGGTGTACCAAAGTCCCTATATTTCTTTCAATTTGCATGAAATTTGGCACAGCGTACTGAATTAGGTCTAGAATGATGCGGGTTATGTTTCCTGAAAATCGGTCCAGATTTAGATATAGCTCCCATGTATATTTTCGTCCGATTTGCACGAAATTTGGCATAGCGTAATGAATTAGGTCTAAAATCATGTGTGTTAAGTTTCCTGAAAATCGGTCCAGATTTAGATATAGCTCCCATATATATTTTCGACCGATTTAATGTAAATGGTGTACCAAAGTCCTATATATGTTTTGATTTGCACGAAATTTGGTATAGGGCACTGAATTATGTCTAGATTGATGTGTGTTAAGTTTCGTGAAGATTGGTTCAGATTTAGATATAGTTCCTATATATTTTTTCTTCCGATTTTATGTAAATTGTGCGCTAAAGAACCAAAGTTTGTCCGATTACCACCCAATTTTGTACAATGACCTGTAGTAAATCTCTGGCTAGTCTAATTGAAAACGGTTCAGATTTTGATGTAGCTTCTACATATACATTTTCGTCCAATTGACACAAATTTTGCACAACATACTGAAGTTAGTATAACATAGAAGTTGGATATAAATGCTTCACCAAGGTGGGTCCAATCGGCAAAAAATGTTGCACTACGTAGTGAAGTGCAACATAATGAAGTGCAATGAAGTGAAGTGGAACATAACGTGTGGCAGGTTTAGTTGAAATCGGTTTAGATGCACCAAAGACCCAAATTTAGGCCGTTTGCTATAAAGTTTTGCACAATATAACCTAGCGTGTGGAAAGTTTTGAAATCGATTTGAAGTGCATTATGTACCAAGGACTCAAAATGTGGCCGATATGCACAAAACATACTGAAATTAGTATAACTTAGCTTGTGACATGTTTCGATGAAATCGGTTTAGATTTCGATATAGGTTTATATTAATTTACAGAATTTTGTCCCATTCTAAGAAGCAACCCTGACCAATTTAATGGTCCTTCAAAAATTCGACGTCTGTTAGGATTCATCTGTTGAATATACCCAAAGTGGTGATGGGTATCATATAGTCGACCCCGTCCGACTTTACTACTTTCCTTACTGGTTTTTTTTTCAAAATAATTTAAAAAAAATGTTTGTTTTTAAAAGTAAATAAATTACCTATTTATTTATCAAAAAAACATTATTTTTAAAAAAGCTACAGGTCAATTTTCACTTTGTTATTTCAGTTGCTTTATTTTGGTCAGGTATATATACATACATGTATATATAGAAATTAGTCTGGCCGAGACGAACTTTTAACATTTGATTTGAAAGTACAGTCTATTTCCTAAATTTTGAAGATTAATGCTGTTTGAAATGACAAATAATTTTAATTAGTTTGGCAAATTTGGTTGAAAGCTTTAAAATACCAAAAGCGCGACCGATGAAAATATAAAAGCAGTGAAGAAAATGATTTTGGATAATCGTAAGGTCAATAAGAAATACTACCATGAACTTATGTGCCGTTTGTGCGAAGCAATTCCTCAGAAACGTACAAATTTATGACAAATCCAAGCTTGGATTTTGCACCATGATACCAGCCAGCTCACAGATCGATGATTGTGAGAGAGTTTTTGGTTTGTGGAAAATTCCTATGGCGATCTTGGTGAGTGTATAAAACCCCAGAAGGGGTCTTATGTCCAATTTTGAAGATATGGCGTGATAATTTTTTGCTGGCTACCCTATTAAACTTGGAAACATCATATCTTCATTTACAGTTATTGTATGTATTTTTTGCAGAGTACATTTCTTCAGTAAAACCGAACGAGGAATCTTTTCAACGACATTTCTTCCTTCAAAGTCTAATTTATTGAACCGGACTCCAATTATCACAAGTTGAGATTTTTCATCCTCGCCATATTCTACCAAAATGTTGCTCATATGATTTTAGTTAATTCCTGAAAGGCGAAAAATTGATATTTTAACGTTTTATTGATATATTCTCAATTTAACACTTTTTTTTTGTCAATAAAACTTTTTTATATGTAAATATTTCAATAAATTCTGTATACATACACACCTCTTCCCACCCAAAATTATTAATATTGGTTCACTTTTTAGGATAGCCCGTTTCGTTATTTTGGGGAGATAGAGCACGTTTTTCTACCAAAATAGATATAATTTGGATAAAAAATTATTATATATGTCAATACACAGATATGCAAAATAAAACATCGCTGTGGCAAACATAAATTTACTGTGAAAAAAATTACGGGATGCCCACTATCTGGCTACGTCGCTGCATTGGTCAAATACATTAACATAGCACAGAATATATCAAAATAAAAGTATGTAAATCCATATTCTAACATTCTATTGATATCCCTCCCGAAGTAGGCATAACCTCATATAATGCTGCTAACATTATTTTTATATGTTTATTATTATTTCAATTTATTTGACCGCCTATTTTGGACAACTACAGTATATGCTGTTACCTTCTCAACACTATCAAATAAAAACTAATTTACAATTTACATAAATAGATAACAAAATTGTATTTATTTAACAAATTTACCAAAACTTACATTTATGATAAGGATTCATAGCACTACCTTTGGAACATTTAAATACTTTGGAAAATTCATCAAAATTCTGGAGCGGTACTAACACCCGTAATTCATCGTGAGCATGGCGACCGGATGCTACAATACCCTCCATATTTTCCTTTTGCCAAGTATCCGCACACCACAATTGAGCATAGTTAATAAAAAACAATTGATCATGCGTATATTTAAAAGCCACATCCAATTCATAATTGCTGTCCTTCTTGAACGTCTCATAGGCCAATACAATACCTGCATTGTCTGCGACATTCTCATCTTGTTTATGATCTGGTTTGTGGAGTTTTGATAGAAAGCTGGGTTTTCCCGTGTAATTTCCATACTGTTCGACTAGACAAGACTCCAACTCGTTGTATTTGTGTTCAGCAAACGTATTCCAATATTTGTAAAAATTACCCTCTTGATTGTAGTTACGACCTTCGCCACTGAAGGCATGCATAATTTCGTGAGCTATGCAAAATCCCAAATGGGCCAGGTTCATCACATTCGGATTCGAAGATGACCACAAGAATTGGGAGTTAAGAATTGAAACTGGTACAATAATTGAGTTTGAAGATATCACATACACAGGGGTCCTCAGATCCAATGAAACGTGTTCGTGTTGGGGTTTTTGGTATAATAGCTGGCGTTTCCTGAAAGCTTCAAATGAGCGAAGAGTCCTTAAGTTCTCTATATAATCGTTTGGGTTAAATGACTGCCAGCGATATTCGTTTTCAAAATTGTGATGTTCATATGTGGCCACCTGTATGGTCATTGAGTGCAACTTGTCTGTTGCCATTTGTCGAGTGTTTACATCAAACCATGTGGGTCTCTTAGATTCCAATATCCTTTGTAAAGATGATTTTAACTGAGCCCATAATCGTTCAATGCCTTTTATTTTTTCTTCTATCTCAGTATTGGATTTGATAAACATTTGACTTAGAATGTGTGGAAATTTCTCTTTTGCCACCTTGACACATAATTCCATTTGACCAAGGTGTTGATGTCCCAAGTCCAACCAGAAATGATGAAGTAATTTTGTAACGATGTAGTTCATCACCAACTTTTTGGGTGTGAATTTTAAAGTTTTTATTAGATTATCCAAATATCCGGGATTTTCAAGCCATACAATTCCGGCAGGTACATAACCAAAAGAGATGTTCAGGAACCTTTTAATATCCATTTGGGGGAAATATTTATTGTGAATACTGTCCACAGAACCGCTGACTGGACTTTGGGCTCCATAATGATTTGCTTGCAGTAGTGATGATTCAAAATCAATAATTTGCCATGCAACACCATTTGCAGTCTCGGGATGGAAATTTATATATTTTAGAATTTCTTCATATTCATGTCTCAAACGTTGGTGGTGGTGGAGTTGAAATTTCTCACCGCCTAAAATTAAATTGTGCGAGGTATGATCTTTGGCATCGGGTTTTACGGAAAACCCAAAAATAATATTAAAGCCATAGGTGTGGGAAATTTTGGCCACTGTCTTCAGCCAATCGAATTCTTGCTCTTTCCTTTCACTGAGAAATTTTGAGTGATAGGGGAACAAACCAAATTCACTTGAAATTTCTTTAAATTTTTCTTTGATATATAAACTCGTTGCACCCGTTGCTGAATTCACACATGAAGAATAAAATGTTTTTATTTTACGCTCCGCATCCGTCCAGTTCCCCACCTCTTCATTATTGAGAAGTTCAATAAGCCTCCTATCGAAATCTTTATTAAGTTCATCAAACATTCGTGTGTGTTTTACACTTTGATTTGCCGGATAATACGATCTCCAATTTCCACAAGCAAAATCGTAAAAATTATCGCATGGGTTAACCGATTCATTCATAAATTTACGAACATTCTCGAAGTGGATGACAAGAGGTGAGCTCTTTAAATCGGTTATTGATTTCACACTTGGTTCCGATGGTAATTTTCGCTCACCACAACACCATAGCACAAAGCATTTCCAAAGAAAACTATATAGACCCATTTATAACGTGTTCACTTTCAAATGTTCAACTCCATTGTTTTTCTAATATTCTGTAGATATTCTTCCACACAACAACTGTCAAAGAAATCAAAAATCAAATAACTTAATCATGTGCCGTTTAAAGTAGCTGAGTAACTGAGTTGAGCGAGTCATATTTCTACTCAACCACAGCTTATTTAATTATTTTTTATATTCGACAGATTTGCATGCCAAACAAAGTCGTTTTGAAACTGACCTACAACAACGCTGATTTGAAGAGAGTGAGATTTCAAACTTGTTTCCTATGCTATGGCAATTGAGTATTGATTTGAAAATAGTGTTTCATACTAAAATATTATCATACTAAAATATTAAATTTTCCACTGGAGTATGAATTGCATTAACAAATAGTAAAGCAATGTGATTTGTCATGTAGATCGACCAAAGATGTGTAGGGTATAGACAACTCATTATCATAATTTTTAGAGTAATGCAAATATGATTTTTCAGTTCTCCTATGTCATATTTCTCACAATAACTAATTACCTCGGAACCACAGATTTGAGCTTTTACTCACAAACACAAGGCATCCAAATAGAACTCTTAATCTGATGGAATATAATGAGTAATATATTTAAAAATATGCAGATGCGTAATAACTCAAATAAGTCATTCATTGAATTGTTTGATGCTATGCAATTGTAAGAAACGTTTTGTTTTTAGAGAATCCATCCACCCATTAAATTTAAAATTTGTATTAAAACGACAAAAGTCGAACATGACCGACTATATAATACACTACATCATTTAAATATATACAAGAGGCGATCGATAAATCAATGTTAATCTTAAAAAATAATTGTAGACGTAATCGCATGTATCGTTTGACATGTAGGGGGAACTGGGGCATCTTCGGTATCGGGGCACGTTTGGCAATCGCGACATGAAGCTCTGACTGTACATCTCTAGCTTCGGTATCGAACATCAAAAGAAATAACTGTCGCAAAAATTGGAATCTTTTTACAGATGTTTTTGTAATATTTCCCTTTCGTAAGTATTTCGTGTATAAAACTTTTCAATTTTTAATGCAGTATTATTAAAAAGTAGTTAATTACAATGTGCATAATGTTTTTAGAAGATTGGTAGAAAAAATAAAAAAAAAACTACAAAAAGTACCTTCGGCGTAGATTCGGCATTTTGATGTGGGGCACATTCGGCCATATGCAGATAGTGCAATATTATTTCCTTAAAATGTTTTAGAGTTTGTCTTTAAAAATAATCCTTTAATGTAGTTCGAAATTATATATAAGACCAAACGGTCTTGTATTGTCGAAAATGCGATAGAAAAAATCTATTTCTGATGGTGCGTGACCTTGAGGTGTCAACACCCGTCACTAGAAAATATAGTCTTAAAAGTCTAACATTGAGTCGGATATTAAAACAAAATAGAACCTTTAGAGGATCTGAATTCCAACCAGACTGATGTGTGATAATTACCAGGATATAACTTTGGTGCCGAATGTGTTTTTGGTACTAGTTTTTATAATTAAGTATCAGACGACAAGATCCAACCATACATTTTTTAAATTTGTTGAATATGTACTAAGATATAGATAGAGCTCTAAAAAAGTGCCGAATGTGCCCCCGTCTCCCCTACATTCAACTGTACAAAGTTCTATGTAGGAGTTGCACTATTTACTTAGCTACATCTAAACCTTTTTCAAGCAAACACAGCACAAGTCAATTCAATTTTATTCATCCATGTATGCATGCATATGATTATAGTTACAATTTAAGAGATCTATCAAAAAGATATTACATCTAATAATTACTGAACAAAAATTTCTATTTTATGATATATTATATATCAAGAATATTGAGAATTTCCTTTATCTCATTTAAGTTGCGATAAAGGAAATTCAAACATTAAAATAATATTATTAAATACATCATATTTTTACATTTGGCAATTTTGCATGTACATTTGTTAATTCTAAGTCGACTCAAATTATTAAATAAATAGAGGATAAAAGCTTTTTCAAAAATGTAATTGGTATTTCATATAATTTCTTAAGTTGAATTTTGTAAATTTGATTATTTTAATTCTATGCATTCTCTAACAAGTGGGTAAGAGCGATTTTCGATTTTTGTAAAAAAAGTTTAAATTTATCCTACTAATATAGTCTGATAAACTCTCGTATCCGGTTTCGGCGTGTAATGCTAGAGTGGAATGTCTCCAATGCTTGTTAAATATTGTTTTCAGACATTTATTTTGCACTATTTGCATTTTATTTAAATTGCATTTAACAGCTTTATACCAGACTGGAGATCCGTAAGATAAAATAGGTCGTATCATACATTTATACAATAAGTTTTTATTCGTCTACCTATAATTGGCATTAGTGATCCTAATGTTGTTGTAGCCTTGTCGCATGCATATTCAATATGGTTCCGGAAAGTTAGTCGAACCAGGATAGTGGCCTTGATGAAAGGAAAAGTAATGGATTGAGTCTTCCCTTCGTTAATTATAATATATATATATATATATATATATTATTGTGACATACTTGCATACTTCTCCCCATTTTCTTTAATAGGGCACTGGTTAGCTTGTTGGGCGAGATGAGTGCAGTATCATCAGCATAATATGCTGTATCGAAATTCGTTAACGGTTTAAAGTCAGCCGTATACAATGAATAGAGTAGTGGGGAAAGAATAGTTCAACTGGATATATCCACGCAAACCATCAGGGCATACAAAATTATAAAAAAACCAAAACATTCCAAACGACATAGTTGATAATTTAATCCTCTCCATGCCATGAAGATGTGCAGAAGTCAATTAAAGTCGATTACTAAAAAAATTTTAACTTTTTTCAATATCTGTGACACATAGACACTATATGCCTGGTTATTGTCCTCTGATACTTAACTATAAAAACTAGTAAAAAAAACGTATGATAAATTAGTATTAGGTAAAACTTTTTACAGTTTTGTCAAAAAAAAGTAAAATTCGCCGAATGTGCCCCTACCGGGTTATCTTCGTCATTTTTTCTATCGCATTTTCGTCAATACAAGTACGTTTGGTCTTACGTATGTAATTTCGTATTTCTTTCTTACGTATGTTATTTCGAACCACATTAAAGGATTATTTTTAAAAAAAAACCCAAAAAATTAAGAAACTAATATGGTACTGCCGAATGTATCTCAAAGGTACTTACTATATTTTTTTTCATTTTTTTCTATCAATCTTCTAAAAACATTATATTTTTAATGTTTTTTTTATAAGAATATACATTTGAATAGATTTATACACGAAATACTTACGAAATGGAATAGAGATATTACAAAAAACTGTAAAATAAGCTTATTAGCTAGACATTTCAAACTTTGCGACAGTAATTTATTTTAATATTGGATACCTATGGATCAAAGCCAGTGATGTACAATGTGAGCCCCAGTCTCCCCTACATGCAACTACACTGGTGCACAACTTTAGTATATACCCAAAGTGCTGAAGCTATCCAATATCATATCTATCCTACTACGTCTATAACGAACAAAATTGGCCAGTCCCTTGAATTTCTCCTTATCAGAAATACGAAGCGAGGGCTTTCATTCCCATAAAGGGAGTAGTTTTATACACTACTATGTTCTATTTTGCCTTTATATTTTACACAATTTTGTATGAAATTGCTAGATGTAGTAAGTCTTAATTTAGATTAGGCGAGTTTACTTGCGGCAAGTCTTTGTTTGTAGGAGAGAGGAGCAAGGGGAATAGAAATGAAAAAAAATTGCTCGTACCGACAATTTTCTGGCAATTCGTTTTGTGTATTTCGTATTTGTTGACATTTTATATAGATTTAAATGTGAAAAAACAACAAATAGAAAAATATTTTGGAAACCGAATTGCCTTGTATAAACTCATGAAGCAAGTTCAAAAGAGAACGACAAGAATTGCCGCAAGTAAACTCGTCTAATCTAAATCAAGACTAACAGAACATTGCACTATGGGTAAAAAGTATGATTTTTTGGCATAAAGTCAATTTTTTTTTGTTTTCATATTTTGAAATGTAACTGATTTCCTAAATGTAGACACCCATATTAGAAAAACCAGTAAGGAAAGTAGTAAAGTCGGACGGGGCCGACTATATGATACCCTTCACCACTGTGGGTATATTAAACAGATGAATCCTAACAGACGTCGCATTATTGAAGAACCATTAACATGAAATTAAACATGTCATTCTGCAACCTATACTAAATTTTGGTCAGGTATAGAGTTGCTTCTTACGATGGGACAAAATAATGTAAATAAATTTAAAGCGAAATATAGGTTACACTTATTTCAGTATGGTTTTTGCATTCGGCCACATTTTGAGTTCTTTATTTACTTATAAATCCAAATTTACTTATAAATCCAAAATCGGACAAAAATATATATGGGAGCTATATCTAAATCTGAACCGATTTTCACGAAATTTAACACACATCGTTCTAGACTTAGTTCAGTATACTATGCGAAATTTCGTGCAAATCGAAGGATATATAGGGACATTGTTGCACCATTTACATAAAATCGGACGAAAATATATATGGGAGCTATATCTAAATCTGAACCGATTTTCACGAAATTTTACACACATCGTTCTAGACTTAATTCCGTATGCTATGCCAAATTTCGTGCAAATCTAACGATATATAGGGACTTTGGTGCAATATTTACCTAAAATCGGACGAAAATATGTATGGGAGCTATATCTAAACCTGAACCGATTT